TGCGTGTGCGTGTGCGTGTGTGTGTGTGTGTGTGTGTGTGTGTGTGTGTGTGTGTGTGTGGAAGTTATTGGTCAGACTCTTTTGAACATTCCTTTCTTTTTTGGGGTTGTTGTTTTTTTTTATTGTATTTTTCATTTGTTCGCCTTTTATTTTTTTATTCGGTTTGGTTAAAATTTTACGGCGCGCGCAACTACAGCATGATAAGGTCTTAAATGAGCGCATCCACAAGAATGGTAACGGGGCTTTTGTGGTCGAGAGGTTACGTTGTTCGCCGCTCATACAATAGGTCCTGGGTTCGAATCCGGACAGCGACGGAAAATCTTCTTCTCTACGATGTCCTCCTTTCACCTCCTTTCTTGCTCTCTAACAATGTTATGTCGTCTGCTTTCGTCTCCACGTTCTGCCCCCACCCCCTCACCTCCTTTGCCCACTCCTCTGGGCTCATGACTCTTTCTGCAGCCTCTCTACAGCTACTCCTTAGCTCCTTCTTACTGCTGTCTTACAGCCACACCCCTGATCTTATGCTAGGTGAGATCTAACACCTGGCCTTCTCGGATAAGGGCGGAAAACCTCGGAGACCCCAAGTGAACAGTTGCGCCCGCTAAAAACATCCCCTTGTGATCCAAAATCGATAAGAGTAGGCTTCGGCTACCACCCGGGCAACATTCATAATTTCCTACAAACTTAAAATGTTTAATGTATTGTGTCCCGCGCGCTCATATGACCTTATGCAGTTGCGAGCGCCGTAAAAAAAAAAAAAAGATGTATGCCTGGTTCATCAGCGTATATGAATGGGTTGGCTGGTACATAACACAAGGACCATGTTGCACGCACGGCGCAGGTCCTTGGTGCGCTCGGAATTTCTGTCAGCGGGTGTGCTGTGTCTTCTGGCGTTTTCATGTTTACATGAATGTAGGAGTCAATCAAAAAATTTTCTGATTGGTGGTTGTCCTGATTTACATTATATATGGAACGTGTTTTTTTTTTTGTAGCTGCTGGGAGGGGAGGGGGGTTGTTTTTGTTTTGTTTTTTGATGTTTTTGTTTGGGGGTTGTTGGTTTTTTGGGGGGGGGGGTTGGTTGTTGTTGTTCTTTTTTGTTTGTTTGTTTTGTTGCTTTTTGTATCGCTTTTTTCGGGGGGGGGGGGGGATAGGTTGAGGAAGGCAGACTCTATTGATCACGTTATTTCCTTCACGCAGATATAACTAAACAATTTCTATTGATGTCACATTTGAGCGTGTGATGTCAAATTGTTTTTAAAAGTATTCCATTTACTGCTGCTATGTTCACATTTGACCTTACATGGTGCGTCATAGTGTTAAAAAAATAACACGTATCACATTTGAACTTTCCAAGTGAGAAAACTTCACCGATGTTAGAATTATTGCTCTGGCTGCGCCATATTTACACTGCCTTGCTTCGTTCTGTCTGAAGGAGAAAAATTAGTTCAGTTTTAGTAGAGGTTTCACGGCACTCGCAACTACATAAGATCATATGAGCGCCAGAAGGTTAGAGGTGTTACAAAAAAGTAACAAACATAAAAAAGAAGAAGGGGGGATAAGGACGATAGATGTTTGATAGGAGGAAGAAGCAAACCACACCAGAGCACCCGCCAACCACCCACGAAAAACATTAAAAAGTCAAAAGTTTTGGGGCCCTTGCAACACAAACAGGTCATATCGGTGCGGTAGATTAGCGGGAGGTGTTACTAGAGAGTAACTTACTACAAAGGAAAGACGGGGGGAGAAGTAAGGAAGATACTCGAAAGATCAATAGGAAAGAACTGGTGGCGTCGGTGGCCTAATGGTTAGGCTCTCGGACTCGCAACCGTAAGGTCGTAGGTTCGAATCCCGTCAGGGGGCCGACATTGTGTCCTTGGGAAAGGCACTTTACACGAATTTTCCTCACTTCACCCAGGTGGGAATGGGTACCCGCCAGTCTGTTAGTGTTTGAGCTCGTGAAATCCGCAGCTTGAAGCCGAGAATGTTTCCGAGTGTTCTCAGAGGGTCTGCTGGGTAATAATAGTTGTAAAGCGCATAGAGCATGCTCTTGGGCATGGATATGAGCTATATAAATGCAATTATTATTATTATTATTATTATTATTATTATTATTATGATGATGATGATGATGATGATGAGGATGATGAT